CCGATCATCACGAAAATCAATAGGGATCATCTTCATAATGACATTGACACAAAAAATAAAAATGAAAAGAATCTGTAAAAAATTGTAGCCTGTAGAGTGAGCACGAGTTGCACAATATAGCTAATAGAGAAAAACGTCAAGTCAGACACGATATTTCGGTGAAAAATTATCCGATCATCACGAAAATCAATAGGGATCATCTTCATAATGACATTGACACACAAAATAAAAATCAAAAGAATCAATAAAGAACTGTAGCCTGTAGAGTGAGCACGAGCCAAATGTGAACGGACGGACCGACGGACGGACAGGGGTGCCGACAATGTCCACATAGAGAGATGTGGGCGTATAAAAAACCGATAATGAAAGCGATGCTTAAATTTGAAGAAAAAACAAGGCCATTTCATTGGTTCAGAGTGAAAATTCAAGTTACTAAGCCCTAAATGTCTAGATGGTCCATGTGGATATGTGTTCAAAATTTCAGCTATGTAGCTTTGTAACTTTTCAAGATAAAAATTTATTTGAGTAGCCTATGAGCGAATTTCGTGCAGCCGTCCCTTGTTACAAGAAATTCGCATTTTTTCTCTAATTGATTTAATTAGGATTTATGTTTTTTTTACAAGTCCTTGGGGCCTAATGATTGGGAAAAGTCCAAAACATGGGCTGAATCGGTTTATTTTGCAAAGTTAAGTATTGGACGTTTAGCCTCCATATGGCCCATAAGAGCAGAATATCGGCAACTTTTCCTGGGCTAACTTTTTCCCTATGGGGGATTTTTGAGCTCTGTTTTTTTTTATCTAAATATTTAGGAGGTCCATGTGGATATGTGTGCAAAATTTCAGCTTTGTATCTTTGTAACCTTTCAAGATAAAAATTTATTTGAGTATGGGCGCATTTCGTGCAGCAGTCCCATGTAACAAGAAATTCCCATTTTTTTCTCTAATTGTTTTTGGTCTATATAGTCCATGTGGAATTTCAGTCTTGTAGCTTTGTAACTTTCCAAGATAAAAAAAATATTTGATTATGAGCACATTTCGTGCAGCAGTCCCTTGTAACAAGTAATTCCCATTTTTTTCTCTAATTGTTTTTAATTAGGTTTTAAGTGTTTTTCCAATTCCCTGGGGCCTAATGAGTGGGAAAAGTCCAAAACACGGGCCACATCGGTTTATTTTGCAAAGTTAAGTATTGGACGTTTAGCCTCCATATGGCCCATAAGAGCAGAATATCGGCAACTTTTCCTGAGCTAACTTTTTCCCTATGGGAGATTTTTGAGCTCTGTTTTTTTTTTCTAAATGTCTTGATGGTCCATGTGGATATGCGTGTATAATTTCAGCTATGTAGCTTTGTAACTTTTCAAGATAAAAAAATTTATTTGGATATGAGCACTTTTCGTGCAGTCTTCCCTGGTAGCCTAACTATGAAATTTCTTTTTTTTTCTCTAATTATTTTTAATTAGGGTTTAACTGTTTTTCCATCTCCCTGGGTCTAATTAGTAGGAAAAGTCCAAAACGTGTCAAATCGGTTTGTTTCGTAAGCTAAAGGCATTTGACGTTTTCGGTCTTTATGGAATATCGGCAACTCGAATATCTCCCAAAGCGAAAAAGGCTAGGTTAGGAAATGTGCCCGATACTCTGCTCTATGGGCCACAAAGATCAAAAACGTCAAATATCTAATATTGCGAAATAAACCGATTTGGCCCATGTGGACTTTTCCTACCAATTGGACCCCAAGGATTTGGAACTTAAAACCTAATTAAAAACAACTACGGAAAAAAAGTTAATTTTTTGTTACAAGGGACCTTCATAAATTATTACTTATTCTGGTGTTCTTTTAGCGTCATGATTTAAAATAAAAATTCAAGAGATTCATCAGTTGAACTTAATAATCAGTTTATTGAACAAGTTGAAAACCTTAAATTACTAGGTGTTAATGTCAATCAAAATCTCTCATGGACTCCTCACGTTAATTCCATTGCAAAAATTGTAAATACTAATTAAGAAAGATCTTACCTGAAAAGTTTATAGCTATAATGTTTTATAAATGCCACTTTCAACCATATCTGGATAACTGTTCTATAATTTCGTTTCGCATGACATTATATCGGCCGACATATTACTTAGATAACAAAAGATAGCTTTTAAATTAATTCTTGGCTCTAAGTACAATACTGATTTGGCACTAAATCTTAAAAGGCTAAATATTTTTGACACCAGACATAACTTTAATTCGTATCAATTTATTTATAAGCTTCTAAATAACATGACGTCTCCTTTCTACCTTTCAAACTTTTTTAACGATAAAGAAGTTTAAAAACTTGGGGTGCAAAAATCACGAATCAATACGATTAAACAGAGTATCAAATTAATACAAAGGGTCAATTTAATGGAATGATCTGAGGGATAATTACAAATCAGTATCAGATTTTAAAACTTTTTTTCGAAGAATGATTTTTGATTATCGTTCAAAAGTATACTTCCTTGCCATGCCGGTATTCTTTTCTTAACTAAAACTGTGTTACCATACCATTTTAATCATATTACCTAATTGTCGCTTTTATATCTCTCAGTGTCCATGTTCATTTCCGTTTTTCTCTTGGGTTAGTAGATGCTGTGCCTGTGAGCCGTATCTTTCCAACCTTAGACTTACACCAATACTAGACCTGCTTAATAATAGTTATCTTGAGTATAACAGTTATGGTTCAATATCCTGAATGATTCGATTTTTTTTTATACTAATTCAATAATTTGCTTACCCTTTTCCTACAGGTATACAACTAAAAATTCTATTTTTGGTCTAAACTTAATTAATTTGGAAAAATCAAAACTCTTAATGTCAGGGGATTAGATTAGTAAACATCTGGAATGTTACATAGGTGGGAGCACTGAGTATTGGCAAAAGATCATGGCATGCTAAATTTCATAAAGCTTGGTCATTTTATATGGCCCATAAACATTATACAGCGCGTCCTTGAGCTCTTAACTCACTGTGACCTTAAAAACCCTACTTTCGTTTTACAGTTTACAAATATTCATATATAGCCATCATTTTCTGAAATATTTGCTTGGATTTAACGATAAAATTATCAAATTACATGCCTGGAACTACTGTATTCCAACAGTCTCGTTTTACGTAATTATATTTGATTTTGTGGAGAAAAAAAACAGCGCACATAACTGAAATTAACATATAAATCAATAGAATCCAACAAATTCGTTGTGAAAATCTTTAAAATTTGCATTTATGTCACCCTATGACTGAGAGTGTCTATTTGCCACTCGTGGTAACTGTAGCAAGGTCACCATAGGGCTTCATGTTAATAATAATATATTTTAATATGTTTTAACATACCACGTGTTTTTTTCTGACACAACTTTTGAAAGACTCTTTATGTTATTTCTGACAGCTGCCAGTGGATGGTAGGCCTATGTTAGGCTATCTTGCCTGGCAAACTATCTATAGGCCTATTGCTCAACACCATTTGTCTTTGGAATTTTTATTTTTTTTATGAAAAAAGTCAGTTATCTTACAAAGAGTTTATTCGTAGGCTATTGGACGGCTTACTTGCAAAAGATCATGGCATGCTAAATTTCATAAGACCTGGTCATTTCAATAATATGGTCCATATAAACATTACAACGCGTCCTTGAGCTCTAAACTGACCATGACCTTTGAAATCCTACTTTCGTTTTATAGTACATGTATAATAATATTCATTTTCAACCATCGTTTTCTGAAATATTTGCTTGGTTTTAACGGTAAAATCATCAAATTACATGCCCGAAATATATTGTATAATTCAAACAGACTTGTTTTACGTAATTTTATTCTTTACCACACGTGGAAAATATCTCTTATTAATCTGTGGGCGTGTTGAAATAAATTGTCATGGGAAGAGTAAGTCATGTGATAGTCACATGTTTTATTGAAGTTTGTATTACTCACTCACACTGTAGAAATTTCTGACTTTCTGTTAACAGATTGCTATACGTTAGACTACTAGGCTACCGGGTACATAGTAAGTTATAGATAAGTTCACTGCTGTTTGACTTCCATTTCAACAAAGGTAACATTTTTAATTCATGAAATTGTGTTCCATCAAATAAGAAAAAAATTAGATTTAAATGTATAAGCCTAGGTCTCTGGTCTACTATTGAAAGAAAAAACTGACTCTTAACTCTGACTACAATGATTTCTGAATCCAATTTTGGCAATCATTTAAGAACAAATTGAAAGTTTAATTACAAAATACTACCGTACTGATAGTCTTACATTGTCTTTGGGTTGATGAAAATGTTAACACTGGAAAAGTTATCTTTTTTACATGATTCACAGAGGGGAATTTTCAGTCCGAAAAGTAGGCCATTTTCTGGGAGGGAGATGTGTCCAAATGTAAAATCACTGAACCTTTTATTTCCATGAACTGGAAGACATTCCAAGACCAATGGCATAAAGTTTAATATTTTATTTTGAATATTTATGAAATAACAGAAAAAATTCATGATAAAGTAGGCTATGAATTACAGAGATGATGTCAAATGTTTTGTTTGTATATAATTTATAATTGTCTGTATGAATGAGGGCAGTAGGCCTAAGGGTACAATTTGAACCTTATTTAGATTTGACTGATTGTATTCCCTTTTTCAATTTATTTGTTTACACTGGATCAATTTGATGATGTTTTTCAAAATAAACTATAAGTAGTATCATGCTGCACCTGTTTTAGAAAATAAAACTGCTTGTAGGAAAAAACTTTGGCCTGAGAAAAAGCCTAAAAATTCATAGAAACTGTTATAATGCTGTTCAAATTGAATTTTTAAATTTCACATAAGTTTACTACACCTTTTAGGAAAAGATTTTATATGTAGTAATTATTGTTATATTTCATTCTAGCTAGAATCTAGATGAAGGTTTTATTGACAGTTGTAACATGTCTTGTGTTGGTACACACAGCAGACTGTGGAGCCAGTGCTCTCAGAAGAATGTTTGGTAAAATACCTCCCATGTGGAATAATGGTGTTGATCCTGGAGAGCCAGCCTTTTTAACTCCTTATTTAGAGAAGGGTGAAATTGACAAAGGTAGGTTTGACCAATGATGGAATATGGAATAGAAGAAAATAAGAGTTTGTTTCTACTGATAGTCACTTTTTGAGGCACACAAAAGATCTTTCACCATGAAAATAATCTAAACATGAAAATGGAATTTAACTGTAGTCACCTATATGTTCTTATTTCAGCTCGTGAATTAAGTATGGTATCAAATCTAAAAAATTTACCAATTAAAAGTTATTCTGGATTATTAACAGTCAACGAAACCTATAGCAGTAATATGTATTTCTGGTTCTTCCCTGCACAGGTTTGTTAAATTTTGTTTTAAGCAATTCATTTAATTGATGTATTATTAGCCAATCTGATTAATTGCAAATTTGATTGTTTTAATTGTTCTTTGCCTACATGATCAACTATAAATGCCATATAGCACATCTTCTGAGACATTTAATATTCAACAAATCAAATTCTCATGCTCTAAAGAAAGATTTTCTAAGTATATGTGAGGAATATATCTGGCAGATCATGGATGACAATTAACGCGCAGAAAAATTTGTAAGTAAACAATTGAAGTTTAAAGAAAAGCTGAAAATAAATCCTTGGCACACTAAAGGGGGATAATTTGATGAGAGTGATAAATTAACTATTTGAAATATTCTACTGCAGGTGGATCCAGCTAATGCACCAGTATTGCTTTGGTTACAAGGAGGACCAGGGGGTTCTTCTTTATTTGGCTTATTTGTTGAACATGGACCATATACAGTTTTAGAAGATGGAACATGTAATTCATTTATTTTTATGCAAAATTTTCATTTTCGAAAATTGTCAAATTCAATTCGGTGATTTTTTTTAAAAAAAAACCTCATTCAAATTAAAATACAGAAATTAGTAGCTTTCAGTTTTACATAATATGCTTTTTAACGAGATTCAATATCATCATGTCCAAACCACACCCCCATTCGTCATAATTCCTCGGGGCAGTGGTAACACAAGTGAGATAAAATTACACATTCATAGCTGAATTTTCAAAATTAGCCCTACTGTATTGGTAGCTAATTTCAGCCAATCAAAACAAATCACTCGTTATGACGCTTTGTTTGCGAACGAAAACGAAAGCAGCATGCCCTTACATATTTTGATGAATATGTATGGTACAGAATTGAGTAAGATTTTCATTAAAGAATTGAAGCCCGAGAGAAAATCAAACCTTATTTTGGAATATTTACTTGGAATGTCTTTTCTCTTCAAATGGGCAGCGCCAAAGCAATTTTGTGTTTTGTTTATAGGCCTCATATCTGTTCTACCAATCTGATTGGTCAGATTTAAATGCCACCAATGTCAATTTCCACGCCTCCAAAAGGAAGTGTAGTGGGTTTAGTTTAATACGGGTTAATAAGACCATGCTAAAACCAGTATTTGTGATACGATGGATTCAATATAAATTCTGAAAATCATCATGATGTATTTACTTTGTATTTTTCAGTGACATTGAAGAATATAACATGGAACAAGAAATATTCATTGTTATATATAGATAATCCAGTAGGGACAGGATTTAGTTTTACTGAAAACAATAAAGGATATGCTACTAATGAAATTGATGTTGGAATTAACCTCTACAAGTAAGGTAGATTTAGTCTCCATGGAAACAATGAATTTTGAGTCTGCACAGATACATAGCTTTCCCTAGCACTATCATATGGTGTTTATTTTTTAATTTGGTACAATTGTCTGTAACATAGAATGGCCAGTCAACAGAATGGTAAATTGAACAGCTATCTTATATTATATCTTTTTCGTGAAATTTTCAGGGCCTTGGTTCAATTTTTCCAGATTTATTATGAATATCAGAAAAATGATTTTTATATAACAGGAGAGGTTTGTATTGTTCATCAGGGTGGATAAAGGAGAGAGACTTGTTGGTCATAATCTAGGACCCCATGCTTTGATTGCAGCATCAATTTGTCAGTTATACAGGATTAAAAGACAATTACCCAGGGTCCTATCTGCATGATTCCTCAACAGTTGAAAATCCACTGATAGGCATTGCAAACTTAATAAACACAATCTGGAATAAGAGAAGGTTAGGTTAAACTCAATTTCAATTCACTTTTGCATTGTTTTAAGTAACACTTATCTACATGTATTTTTATGATTTTTGAAAAGTGCCTGTGTCATACATTTTGCATCTCCATTAATAGCAATTTTCCCTTCTTAGTGGCTTAAAATTTACCTAAGACTATGCTGAAGCTTTTAGAGCTTTGATCACATCAAGTGTGATAAGTTATCATTATATATTTCAGTCTTATGCTGGTAAATACGTGCCTGCTATATCATATAGAATACATCTAGAGAATCCTAAAGCTAAAATTAAAATCAACTATAAAGGAATGGCAATAGGAGATGGCTTATGTGATCCAGAAACAGTAAGTCTTTGGCTAAATAATTTGAAAACATTGTTAAAACTGTACACCTTGAAAAAGCATGAAACTGAATGTCAAAATTTGCATTTTAAAGGACAGGTTCGCCATCCGTTCGACCAATCATATCTTAGTCTCAGAAACAGGAATTGTTAGCTAATCTAATCTGAATAAAAGTGTTCACACTTCACCATTCAAAACTGAACCTTCAAATCCTAGTGCCAGACATGCCAAAACAAGGCTTTTAATAATATTATTATTCTATGTGTAGTTTACTTTATGTTGACTGTAATATGTTTTTGATACTCTATCTCTAAATAATGACCTCTCATAATGGTCATTTATCAAATTAATGTTATGTACACACTTATATCATTGTTAGTCATGTTATCATTTCTCTATTTTAGATGATGGATAAATATGCTAACTTTATGTATAATATTGGAACATTAGACGAAAATCAAAGAGATTTTTTCCAATCACAAACTGATCAAGCTATTCAATTTATAAAACAACGTAAATTTTTACAAGCTTTTAGGGTAAGCCCACAATAATGTATTGTCATAATTTCCCTACGGCAATGCATGTACATACATATAGTGAACAAGATTTTTGTTCATTTAGTTGTAAATTTGCAATCAATTAGGTTCATTGAAACATGATATTACATGAAAATTCTGGAATAAAAGACACAGCCATTGAGAACTGAAGTATCACACTTTGCAAATTGGTGATTATTTTCCAGATATTTGACTTTTTATTAAATGGTGATGAAACTAAAGGACCAGCATTTTATCAGAATGCTACTGGTAGTACAGACTATTATAATCTTCTTAGATCTAAGGTAAGTAGAATTTATTTTACAAAAATAACAACTGCTGAACTGGTAGACTGAGATTACAAAGATTTGTGTGATTCATTATAATATTTATCAAAACTTTATTAAGTGGATGGAAGTTTTATGAAATCTGATTTGTGTTTTTCAGTCACCAGCATCTTTCGGTTACTATAATGATTTCCTAGCTGATCCTAGTGTAAGAAAAGCTATTCATGTAGGCAACCTGACATATAATGATGGTTCTGCTGTAGAAAAATATTTGGTAAATGACATAATGGACACTGTTAAACCATGGATTTCTGTTTTATTAGACCATTATAAGGTAAGTAAAGAGTGTGGGTTACTGTCAGAAACAATGTTTGTGTTTATGTTAGGTTATGATATTATAATGGTCAACTAGATATTATCATTGTTGTACCATTAACAGAATCCTTTTTACGTTACAAAGTGTGCAATGTTTATGTTTATTTTAGGTTATGATATATAATGGTCAACTGGATATTATCATTGTTGTACCATTAACAGAATCCTGGTTACAAACTGTACAATGTTTATTTTAGGTTATGATATATAATGGTCAACTGGATATTATCATTGTTGTACCATTAACAGAATCCTGGTTACAAACTGTACAATGTTTATTTTAGGTTATGATATATAATGGTCAACTAGATGTTATTATAGCTGTACTGTTAACAGAATCCTGGTTACAAACTGTACAATGTTTATTTTAGGTTATGATATATAATGGTCAACTAGATATTATTATAGCTGTACTGTTAACTGAATCCTGGTTACAAAGTGTACAATGTTTATTTTAGGCTATGATATATAATGGTCAACTGGATATTATTATCTGTACTGTTAACAGAGTCCTGGTTACAAAGTGTCCAAATGTTTATTTTAGGCTATGATATATAATGGTCAACTAGATATTATTATAGCTGTAACGTTAACAGAATCCTGGTTACGAACTGTACAATGTTTATTTTAGGCTATGATATATAATGGTCAACTGGATATTATTATAGCTGTACTGTTAACTGAATCCTGGTTACAAACTGTACAATGTTTGTTTATTTTAGGCTATGATATATAATGGTCAACTAGATATTATTATAGCTGTCCTGTTAACTGAATCCTGGTTACAAAGTGTACAATGTTTATTTTAGGCTATGATATATAATGGTCAACTGGATATTATTATCTGTACTGTTAACAGAGTCCTGGTTACAAAGTGTCCAAATGTTTATTTTAGGCTATGATATATAATGGTCAACTAGATATTATTATAGCTGTAACGTTAACAGAATCCTGGTTACGAACTGTACAATGTTTATTTTAGGCTATGATATATAATGGTCAACTGGATATTATTATAGCTGTACTGTTAACTGAATCCTGGTTACAAACTGTACAATGTTTGTTTATTTTAGGCTATGATATATAATGGTCAACTAGATATTATTATAGCTGTCCTGTTAACTGAATCCTGGTTACAAAGTGTACAATGTTTATTTTAGGCTATGATATATAATGGTCAACTGGATATTATTATCTGTACTGTTAACAGAGTCCTGGTTACAAAGTGTCCAAATGTTTATTTTAGGCTATGATATATAATGGTCAACTAGATATTATTATAGCTGTAACGTTAACAGAATCCTGGTTACGAACTGTACAATGTTTATTTTAGGCTATGATATATAATGGTCAACTGGATATTATTATAGCTGTACTGTTAACTGAATCCTGGTTACAAACTGTACAATGTTTGTTTATTTTAGGCTATGATATATAATGGTCAACTAGATATTATTATAGCTGTCCTGTTAACTGAATCCTGGTTACAAAGTGTACAATGTTTATTTTAGGCTATGATATATAATGGTCAACTGGATATTATTATCTGTACTGTTAACAGAGTCCTGGTTACAAAGTGTCCAAATGTTTATTTTAGGCTATGATATATAATGGTCAACTAGATATTATTATAGCTGTAACGTTAACAGAATCCTGGTTACGAACTGTACAATGTTTATTTTAGGCTATGATATATAATGGTCAACTGGATATTATTATAGCTGTACCGTTAACAGAATCTGGTTACAAACTGTACAATGTTTATTTTAGGCTATGATATATAATGGTCAACTAGATATTATTATAGCTGTAACGTTAACAGAATCTGGTTACAAACTGTACAATGTTTATTTTAGGCTATGATATATAATGGTCAACTAGATATTATTATAGCTGTACCGTTAACAGAATCTGATTACAAACTGTACAATGTTTATTTTAGGTTATGATATATAATAGTAAACTAGATATTATTATAGCTGTACCGTTAACAGAATCTGGATACAAACTGTACAATGTTTATTTTAGGCTATGATATATAATGGTCAACTAGATATTATTATAGCTGTACTGTTAACTGAATCCTAGTTACAAACTGTACAATGTTTATTTTAGGTTATGATATATAATGGTAAACTAGATATTATTATAGCTGTACCGTTAACAGAATCTGGATACAAACTGTACAATGTTTATTTTAGGTTATGATATATAATGGTCAACTCGATATTATTATAGCTGTACCGTTAACAGAATCTGGATACAAACTGTACTATGTTTTGTTTATTTTAGGTTATGATATATAATGGTCAACTAGATATTATTATAGCTGTACCGTTAACAGAATCCTGGTTACAAACTGTACCATGGTCTGGTCTAGATGATTATAAGAAGGCTCCACGTGGCATATGGAAAGTAAATGATGATATTGCTGGTTATTACAGACAAGTTAAGAATTTCTACCAGGTATGTATTTAAGTAAAAAAAATTTTATTATATGCCCATCCATATGGAAATGTGGACATATATTGCCATCACCCCTGGTCACATTTCTTGTAGGCACGATAAAGGCTATTTATCTTTATGAAACATGGTATGCATGTAAATATTGATGAGATCTCGGTCAAGTTTGAAATTGGCATTAATTGGATGAATGGTTTCAGAGTTATTGCCCTTGACTTAGTAAAAACACAACAAATTTTGCTTGTAGTTATTGACCTTGTGTATACGGTATGTTGATGAGACCTTGTTCATGTGTGAACTTGATGGTAATTTGATTTGTTTTTGAGGTTTTGCCTTGAGTATTTTCAAAATTCATTATAAAGCCTCTTAAGACTTAGTTATCATTTCTGACAGCTGGTAGTTGGCGTATGTTACCTTGCCCGGCAAGCTTTTTTTAAAGTGGTCACTGTTCACTAAATGGAAAAGTTTTAGGGATGACTATTGTGGTTCCAAATCGAAAGTGATTGCTTTCAAAATATAGATGTTCAAGTGATCAGGATTCACTGTATAATATACAATTTTAGTTTAATTTTCTGAGGGTTACATTTGCTACAAGAGACTGCTAATATAACATTTTTATTTATAGATTATCGTATTAGGTGCTGGTCATATATTACCTCACGACCAACCAGAGAGAGGTTATGATATGATACAGAGATTTATTGAAAATAGAGGTTTTGACTAGCAGCTTTTACAAAATACTACCTTGTATATATATTGAATACATTTGTATGTTTGTTAAAATAATTTGCTCAAGATTATGTCCTGCTTTTGTCTTGAAATTTTATCATTTAACTTGATGTACTGTGTTAAAATCTTGTACATGGCACTGTTTAAGAGCACCTCATCCAAGATAAGAAAAGTCATTGTAAATGTCCTAAATACTTTGTTAAATACTATATATTTTGAATAAAATTTATTTTTTCAGTGAATATGTTTGAATAATTATATGACAGCAAAGGTTCATGTAGCAAAATGTCCTTAAAAGCCTTTTAGCCCTCCAGTTTAGCATCTACTAGTATAAAATAAATAAATGAAGACAGTTGAGTCTTTCAAATTTCAGGGCACTGACAAGATAAAAATTTTGAACACTTACTTAAACATTATATGTGAGGTTTCAAAATATTGAAATACACAATAAAATCACTCATACATATAGCTCAATATAAAAGATAGGCAATCACAATTTTAGGATATAAAATGCTGCAATAATCACAGTTTTAAGATATATCATACTGCACAGGTTAAATTCAATCTTTAAATGCTGTAGATAACATATCTCTCCTCGGTGGATGTAGTGGTTTCATTTGGGCCATGGCCTGTCTTGCATAAACTGAATTAACTACCCCAGCCTCTCGTAATTTCTGTTCTAGGCGTATTCGTGGATCAGAGGTTACCTGGAAAGAAAGTGTTCATGTACAGCCTTCAATTTGAAGAGGAAGTATCGATTACATTTCAATCTGAATGCAGTCTTCATCGGCCCTTGATGACACCAAACATGTTTCAATTATTTCATAATTATGTTTGATTTAGACTCCTCTCAAACAATTTTGGAAACCAAAACCATGTCTGGCCAGTCAAAACAGAATTTTGTTCAATATGGTTTTATTAAGATCATTTGATAAATTATAGGACTTACCTGATTAGAGGTAAAAGAGTTCACTTCAAATAAAGGTTTTTGAATATCAACTAAGTTATCATCTTCCAGTCTCTTCTGCCATGCCTATGAAATAAAGGAAATCATTTATTAACTTGATAAGCTAGCACAATTTAACTTTTATTATGACTTGAAGCTAAGACTCTAAAAACATACTATCAGTCTATCCTTCGTAATGTCATGTTTCATCTTGCAAATTGTTTCAAATTAATAGGCTTTATCACCTCATAAATTCAGAAACTATGAGACATCAGTTAATGAGGTTGAGAATAATGCAGTCCAATCACTTTAATGTATGTTCTGAAGTATAAAACTAAAATTTAATATTAGATAAGGTTCTTACATTTTAAGATCAACTAACTAGCATTGCATTAAGTTCTGTAGCATGCCATTTAAATAATAGCACTGAAGGCAGCGATGTTTAGCAGTTGTCAATAGAATCTGGTAACTCTACCTTAGTATTTTGATGCAGCCGATCGGGATCAGATTCAGCAGTAACTCTTACTGTTGATCTTAAAGCTTCTAATCTTTCTTCTTTCTCTCTTTCTTCTTCTAGTTCTTGTAGTTTCTGTCTCTTTTTTTCTTCTGTTTTCTCATCAAACTGTTCCTTACGAAATTGAACTCTAAAAATAGATTAGAAGGATAGTTTGCTAGATGTTATTCGTTGTTGAAAGAGGTAGTTTATGATTGAAAGTCTGTACATTCCAATGAGTCGTTTGTGTGAACAACCTCAAACAGGAAATTAAAGCCTGTTCATTCTCTATATATTGCATTTAACGGTCAAATTGCTTTATCATGTTATTGAACTACCACATACCTGTTTTTATCATATTCTGCCTGTTCATTTAATAAATGATATAATTCTTCTAATCTTCTCTTATCTTCTTCCTCTTCCCTTCTCTTTTTCTCTTCCTTTTCATGTTGAAACTTACTGATCTAAAACAAAACACTTTCATTTTACTTCTTTATCTAACAGACAAGGAAAATTAAAGTGGATTTGTGGAAGATATTTTTATTTAGAATAATATGGAAAAAGCTTCTAAAAGCCCAATTTGAATAGGAATATACCCATCAAAACTGCAACTTTGTCAAAAATCATGAAACAACAAGTAAAACAAGTGGTTGCCTAGCAAGATACGCCCACTTTCCTGATCCATTTTCAGTATATCAAGGGCAGTCACCTATCTGTGTCAAATCATACAAAAAATCTAATTTGTGCAAGATATTGTTGATTTAAACAAACACACATTATTTAATAAAATTTTGACATAAACTGTCACCACTTTTGCCAACAAATTTTGATGCGTTTTTACTAAGTTAAGGGTAATAACTGAAATTCTGTTGATCGCAAAAATTGTCAAATTTAATCTTGACTAAGATCTCATCATTATAAATGATCATACCAAATTTCATTTAAATTGGATGAAAACTGTAGTCTCTATTGCGTTCTCAAGCCAATTTCAATTCGTTTAGGCTAAGTCAAGGGCAATAACTCAAAAACTGTTCATCGAAAAATCCTGAATATCGAACTTGTCCAAGATCTCATCAATATAAATGATCATACCAAATTTCATTTAAATTGGATGAAAACTGTAGTCCCTATTGCGTTCTCAAGCCAATTTAAATTCGTTTAGGCTAAGTCAAGGGCAATAACTCAAAAACTGTACATCGAAAAATCGTGAATATCGAACTTGTCCAAGATCTCATCAATATAAATGATCACACCAAATTTCATCGGAATGAAAACTGTAGTCGCGTTCACAAGCCAATTGTGGACAGACAGTCCGACATGGGTGACGACAATATACGTCCACATTATAATGTGGGCGTATAAAAATGGAAAAATGTTTACAGTACCTTATGTTTGGTTTCTTGTCGATGTTTTTTCTCTCTTTCTTGTTCTAATTTCTGTTGTTCTAGAATATAGTGTCTGGCTTTTTCTTCCTGTTTCATTTGTAATCTAGTAACCTCTTCTTTCTGTTCCCTCCATTTTAATACCTAAATATTTCATTGATACAAACAATCAAAACAATTTACCAAAAATATTGTAAACTATGTCTCCAGTCTGGTAGAGATGCTGAATCAACAACCCAGTTACAAGGTTTGCATCAAGGGTTCAAAAAGTATGAGCCTGTCCTGTAGTTGACCTAAAAAAAATTTAACCCATGACTTATTGCAAACACAAACTTGATTCTCATCGGGAAGAGTTTCAAGCCACAGATGTGGATTTATGGCCAAATCTGCAAGAAGAGCTCGGACCTTGTCTAAATGAATTTGATATCTCCATCAAATGATGCACTAGAGAGTTTTAATGATATTTTAAAAATATATATCCTGCACCTATCAATACAATACAATACAATACAATACAATACAATACAATACAATACAAGCTTTATTTAATTTCCTCCCTTGTCAAAATTCAGTTCAGTAAATCCTACTATTTGGCATCTGGACAAGCCAATACTCTAGTATACTGGTATATGTAAAGCAAATTTAAAGTTGAGATAACTACCTTATCAAACAGAGCATCACAGACAAGTTTCTGGTGAGTTCTAAACTCAGCTTTTCTCTCTTCTAGCTCATGAACAACTTTAGCTTCATCAAAAACTACCAGAGCTTTATTGAAGAGTTCTTTTCTGTCACGTTGCCAGTCCAACATGATACTTCTCATTCTTTCATTATAATATTTATAATCTAACCACCAATCTTCATGCTCTGCCTATAACAAACAATTCTTCTTTGATTTTTGTGCACTATAACATTAATATGCTAGTTTAAGTGGTAATAAAAAAACTATGTCTGGCTTGATAATTTCCAATAATACCCAAACATTCCCAGTTGTGCACAAATATCTATAAGCCAAACTAATTTGGTAAGATTGAGATTTATCTGTTGTTTTTTCAAACTTTTGTAAATGTAGCCTATATTGTTAATGACCATGTACATCTATCTGTTCACAATGTGAATGCACAATCTACAAGGTCCCTTCCATGTATCCAAAACTATTACATATTTCTTCTGTTTCACTTTAGCAGGTAAAGTTATAAGGGACCAAGATAATAAATATTCTGATTTTGTCACAACTGTCAACCATTTTGCAGGATTGTCCGCTGGAACTTACCAATTGCTGTCTAGTTTTCTGAGGTAAATGTCGTTTTAATCTATCTAATAATAATTGTCGTCTGTTTTTTAGATCATGGGAATATTGATCATAGATAGCCAGAAATGTAAAATGTTCATCTTCATACCAATCACCACACATATCTCGACTGAAAATATTTACCTTAATATATATCATACATATAACTCGATCGAAAATATTTACATAATTATATCTTAAACACATATCTCGACAGAAAATATTAATTACATATATCAAACACATATCTCTACTTTTAAAATAGTATTATATATTATACATATATCAGAACTGAAAATATTTACATAATTCATGATTATACACATGTCTCAACTGAAAATATTTATATAATTAAGCTTCTTTAACATGCACTATCTCAATTGAAAATATTTATATATAATATTATATTATTATATATAGCCTATTGTAGACATATCTCATATGAAAATATTTACATAATTGTATGTTAAAATATGCTAAAACACATAAAAAACTCCTGATGGTTCTTCTCTTTGGAAGTCCACTACTATAATATATTTATATATATATATATATATAATCAAATAGATTTTGATTAACAGAATTGTCTTGTACCAATTTTTATTACATAAATATTCATTTGAATACAGATAGATGAACCTGAAATTGAGCCCTATCAGTGGGTATTGTCTTAACTAACCTTTTACATAAACCATGTCTCCTATCTAGATCTTCTAGATGTCTATGATATTTAGAATCAAGAAGTAAAAACTCATTTAATACAGCTGTTTTTAACTCCTCATCTGGACATTCTAACTGAATACCTTCTTCAGGTATACCTTCTACAATATGTGGTCTTCTTTCTAATTGTATTGGACATAGGTCTAACATATCATCTGGAACATAATTCATCCTGACAGTTATTGATGAATCACTAGTTGTTCATTCAGTCTCATGTTGATCCTAAATTTACTCCAGACCCTTAGTTGCACATATAAACCTTTAATATTTAAACCTTTTATGTTACAAGTGTCAAATTACAGCATGAAAACTCAAGGTTTTCGGCCTTTTCATTGGCTGCTGCCAACGTTTGCAATAACCTTTCAGAAAATTTAAAATCTGTGCCAATACATACAATTTCAAGAAAAAAATGAAAACTGTTTTATTTGACTCTTTAGTCTGTATACATTGTAGACTATGGTTTCTATATTCACCAGTTTCTGTAAGTGCCATGAGCACACTTTTATGTGGAGATTAGCGTTATGTAAATACATATTATTATTTAATCTCTTTCACTGGGCATTCTAATTCAATAAGTCCTAGATCTATATTGAAAAATGAAAGTGCATCTTGAAGGCTATTGAAGTAAGGAAAAACTGTGAAGTTTCCTACCGGCACCTCCATTTCTATTTTGCCCAAATGCCAAGGGAAACAGATGGAAAATCAAAATGAGGGAGATTTACCTGAGTTCAGTTCCTTTTCCAGTTTGATTTGTTCATGTTGTAATTGTTGCAGAATAGAATACTGTTGTTTTTCCACACAATCTACCATCTCCCTTACTTCATCATATTTAGTTAATGCATCTGGAGAACCTTCACTTAATCTAGTTTTATTCTCTGTTAACCAGTACTCCAAATCTTCTCTTAAATAATTTGAATAAAAAGCTCACATAATTTCGTTACTACAGACTTGAGATAAATGTGACAAAGAAAATAATACACATCAAATCTATCATAATTCAAAAGATATGAGACAAAAATATTACTACAGCTTACTTGTTTGTATACCATAGCCAAGTTATTCATAGTGTTTCGTTAACTGTCTCTCAAGTTCAATTTAGGGATCTTGTCAATTCTTGTTCAATTTTAAACAAACTTAACACTAATTTATACAAGAAATATTTTCTCAGAAGATTACCTGAGATTCCAGATAGGCTCTGCTGTCTGCTTCTTAAATTCTTCAAACTCTTTGTTTAAAGAATCTTGAAAATATTCAAAATCTTTATAAATCTGCCCGCAAATTCCAACTCGGTTATCTCGAACATGATCTTCAATTTCCGTTTGTATGTTTTTTCTGGCATAGTGTAGCTTCAAGAATTCTTTTTGCCATAATAGCTTATGTTGCTTTAGCACATTATTTTCTTTATTTTGTTTACAGAATTTGTCCAGTTTCTCTAACTTCATAGAAAATTTATGTGAAGTGAAACGAGTTTTAGAGGATAAATGTTGAAGTTTATAATAGTTGACATCTTTATATTTATTGCTTCCCAGTCCATCTGTTGCTCTTTGTACTAACTTATCTGAAATAACACTGAAACTGTAGGCTATACAATCCATTGAAAGCAATATTTTAATTTTATTTCATACCGGTAGGCCTACTTAGACTTTAGAATTCTCAAATGTGTAGCCAAATTATAAGTTTGGTTCCCCATTACAACCATTAAGCAACAGATAATCTTAGTAGGACCGAAAAGACTACATTCAATATATTCTAACCACTAAATCGTACTTGAAGTGGAACTAAAGACGTTACAAAATTACTTTCGTCGTTTGGAAATTTCATTCATTCACTATACAGACTAAAACTAGAATAAAGTAAAAATTGGAATGAATAGTAACAAACCCGTTTCGGCCGATCTATAATTGATGACAAAGGATCTAAGATCTCTTCCACTCATTATTTATCAATATATTTGTCACATTGTCATCAAAATAAAATAAAACTAGTATTTTCTCATTATTTATTCAGTAGTGAATGTAAACAATTTTTGTCGGCCATCTTGTGGGTAGATAACTCTCTCGGTATAACCGAATCAGACAACAACTGTTTTGAACCAATCAGTTATATACAGTCAAGTAACCTAATTTCGTGCTAGCCTATTTTGCGTGCATCTCCGGAAATGATTAATAATTTACATGTGCGACCTCGCGTGACCTCCGCATATGCTTCTTTTGATAAACATGAGTTATCTGTACAATGTCAGCTTGTAGAATGAATCCAGTAGTTTTAAGCATGGTAAAATTAATGTATACTACGACAAACACAAAATGACGGATTTCAGTTATTACCTAACGTCACAATTTTTTATCGGCCGAATTTTTTTATAATTCCAAGCTGTAATCGGAATTCCAAGTGTCGTCTGCTAGAATGTAGTCCAACGAATGAAGTCACTTGATCAACTAGCGGGTTCCGTGTCAGCAGAAAAATTCTATGGAACACAATGTGGGCCACATTCTTATGTTGTTTAGAACTATGACTTTTAGCAATAAATCACATCTTAGCTGTGCATCTTATTTAGTCAGTCACTATTTTTCGTGGTTCTTTGAAAAAATTGTCACTGGTTATTACTTATTAGATACCAAACATAACAACTAAGAGAAGTTAATTATACCACTGAATAACCAAGCAACGTGTTTTTCTCGACTTATTTACAGATCAAACATTGTACACAAAAATGGGTGACGCATTTTGCAGCCATCGTCGAGTTGGTTACTCGTGAAATTTGGGTCAAAGTGAGGGATTCATATAGAAAATCGAAATACACCAATTTTAATTATTTTGTGGAATATCTTCTAAATAATATCAAAATTATAAAAAAAAAATTGCATTTTTATACGACCACGCATAAGATGGGCGTATATTGTAATCACCCTGTCGGTCCGTCCGTCCGTTCACATTTGGTTCGTGCTCACTCTACAGGCTACAATTCTTTACAGATTCTTTTGATTTTTGATGTTGTGTGTCAATGTCATTATGAAGATGATCCCTATCGATTTTCGTGTTGATCGGATAATTTTTCACCGAAATATCGTGTCTGACTTGACGTTTTACTCTATTAGCTATATTGTGCAACTCGTGCTCACTCTACAGGCTACAATTCTTTAAAGATTCTTTTGATTTTTATTTTGTGTGTCAATGTCATTATGAAGATGATCCCTGTCGATTTTCGTGATGATCGGATAATTTTTCACCGAATTATCGTGTCTGACTTGACGTTTCACTCTATTAGCTATATTGTGCAACTCGTGTTCACTCTATAGGCTACAATTCTTTACAGATTCTTTTGATTTTGATTCTGTTTGTCAATGTCATTATAAAGGTGATCCCTGTCGATTTCGTGAGATGATCGGATAATTTTTCACCGAAATATCGTGTCTGACTTGACGTTTCACTCTATTAGCTATATTGTGCAACTCGTGTACAATCCACAGGCGACAATTCTTTACAGGTTCTTTTGATTTTGATTTTGTTTGTCAATGTCATTATGAATATCTTAAACACTAAAAGGCATGATTCTTGCTGGATTTTGACAAAACTTGGTTTTATTATTCAGTCCCGCGCTGAAGATTGAATATTTGCCTTCTAAAGTTTTCACGAGCTAAAAATTCAAGAACAAGGGCAATAACTCATACTCAATATTATTCAGTATCGCCCTAAAGAGTTCAATAGAAGTGTATGACTGAAGGTTGAATATTTCATACTGGTGATTGTTACTGTACTGCTAAATATCTTTATTCCAAATCAAAAAAATGAAATGAAATGAATGGAGTTTTACGTCCTACTCTTCTGCACCTTGTGGGCTAATGAAGACGGGCAACGCCATGCAGGGTGCCATGAGGGAAATTTTGCCAGGACGGCGGCATTAGCCTGCTCTTTTTCGATTTCCAACTGTCTAGGGATCTTTAACGTGCACAGCCTGTAGCACACGAGGCCTCGGTTTATTGTCCCATCCGAACGACTAGACGCTTTTTCCATGTCAGCCCCTCCTACCTGCATCACTGACAGGGGAAAACCGGGTTGAAAAATCCGAAGGTATTATCACGACCTATGCCGGGATTGAACCCTGGACCTTCAGGTTAGCGAGCAAGCGTCTAACTCACTGAGCCGCCGCTTATTCCAAATCAAAGCTGCCAGTGGGCGTATATTACCTTGCCTTGCAAGCTATCTTTTAATTTTGACGAAATTCGTTGTTGAATCCTTATATGCATGAATATAGGTTGTACACCACTGTATAACCACTGCGTAACGTCAAGTCTAGTCATACACCATAGGATGAGCACCAAAAGTGCGATATTATGAGGGGAGCCGTGGCCACAATCCTCAAACAAAATTGTCCTTTAAATCGGCTTTCGTTCTCAGAACCAGTACAGCCTCAGTGCTTATTATTTTAGGATGTTGAAAATGTAATGATTTCGTTAATATTTTTAGGTTATTATCATGGAAATGCACGAGTGCCACGAACTTGGTTAGGCTTGAGTGCAAATTATCAATAAGGAAGACAAAGTTGATTTTTGTCGAGTACTAATTGATTGATTTGTAATAAAAACTACACCGGCGTCATTAGTAAGCAGTACTTTGTTTAAAAACACCAAAAAAGAGAAAGCAGGCGCCTTTCACGACCAAAAAAACAGCATTGTTTACATTTTTGCCTGTTATGCCATTGGAAGCCTTCTCTTTTTTATGCGTTTACACCTTTTTTCTCCAAATAACCCATTATTAATATTCGAGGACTTCAAGGACCTGTGCTTATACAAGCACCAAATTTGGTAGGCTACAGAAGTTTTCTCAGGACCTATTTTTTCAGAAAAGGTCGCTATTCAGGTGAAAAAAAATGCCAGTTTTCAAGGTGGCCTTTAACTGTAAAACAAGCTCTTTTCCACCTAGAATCTCAAACAAAATAGTTCAATAATGTTAAGGGCCCGTGTATTCTAACCCGGATAATTCAATAGTTTCAATATCAATCCAAAATAGTCGCCATTTCTCTCAACCCTTATAACAACATAATGGTTTGTATTTGAAGCAATATAATTTGCATCTTTCTTGGCAGTCGGTCTTACTTTCAGAATTTGGTAATTGCACACAGTTTTTACCAGAGAACTTGTCTCTATTTTTGTCACCTTCGGCAGGAAAGGTTTTTGCCACATTGTCCTTTAAAAACAAACATTGTTAGATGCTGATTGGGGGATGTACTTGTGGAATTGTATGTTGATCATATGATCTTTGTATGCATAAAAAGTCCACTCTTGTCTCGTCATTCTTGTACATCCTTGTCCTCATACATTTGTATAATAAACGTGTCAAGGATTTTCTGGTCAGAATCTTTCACAAATAAACGTATGAACTTTGAAGACATGGGTGACTTCAGAACAGAAGTCCCTGGCTTGACATGCAATTTACTTGACTTTACCATGAAAAGCTGATATATCACAACCAGTACGCTTGACGTCCAGTAAACATAGAAAAAAACTGGCTGTCCACTTCTATTTTTAGTATGTCTGTAATCCTTGGAAATTTGGTGCTTGTAATATCACGAAGTGATTCTTATGGAAAATTGATTTAATCTGTTCCATTGTTATCTCTATGGTCACATAACCTTATGAAAAGGGTTGCAAGGAACGACGAGATTGCAAAAACTTACGGCAATGAATTTTGGCCCAGTCTCAGAAATGGAAATGTGCAAACAAAATCTTATCGAAAGTTATGTGTGTATTATCGTCTTTAAAGAAAAAAAAATTATCAAAATAACAAAATATGTGACAATGCCATTTTGTAATCTGAAATGAATAAATGTATTGTCAATTCTTAAATAAAATCTCTGGTTGTGGTCTTCATTAAAACATTGTCTTTTTTATATTCTACTGATTTTATTTTACGGTTTTAAAGTCTTTGGGATAGTTTATTTCACTATTACTGTGGACGGGCAGTATTGTCAGTATTGACCGCCAAGAGCGGTCGCTTTCCTTCTTGGGTTTCCCGGTCGGGGTTTGCGATGGTCCCGAGTAATTTCAAGAGGAGTTCTTCTTGGTAGTGACCACGCCTTAAGTTTTCCATCTCTATCAAAACCAGCTTCAATTTTACCATTCGAAAGTACTAAACTTCCATTGGATGAGTTTACCTCATGGTTTCCTCTCCGCACGTTCAAAATTCCATCTTTGTCTACAACTATCTCGGCGAAATGGGTGTTGATTCGCATTGTACCCATTCCTGGAGAAACTTTTAAAAATTTTGGTCCCGTAACAACAGATACCTCACCACGTCCATTTTGTGTAATCTTAGCTCCGTTGATTCTGATGATAAGACCTCCCTTTGGTAGATTTTCGTACTCTGCTATGCCAGCAATATGCAGGCATTGTGCGACCAAATTGCTTCCGAAAGCTTCCGAAGCAAACAAGAGTTCAACTGTCTTGTCATTTGCAAGATTTGTGAAACGAGGAGAAGCAACTTCAATGTTCTTGAAATCAAATTTGTAACAATTTGAATCAGATCCAAATAAAATGTAATTAGTTGTCATTTTCGCATTGACGTTGTTTACATGTAAATCTGTAGTCGTATGTTCTTGGTAAGCTTTTGCACACGGATGATGCATGATGCTTGCGGTGCCTCGACTGTTAGTAGCCACGGCCATTTTCTGGTTATGACTAACTACACGTATCGTCCGGTCAACTGTCATTTCAACAGATACGTCATGTTTCAACATGACAGTTATCAACCCCGAATTTGACACGTAAATTGATGGATACACAAAAGTTTGCATTTCCGGTTGTGAAGTAAATGGTTCCTCAGAAAATCTTGGGTACATATTGCCTTGGTAGTCATCGATCTGGTGACAAAATGGCAGAGGCTGGTCGAATGCCGGGTGAGGTGGTGGTGATTTATGTTGTTCTGCTTCCGTTTCATGACTCACTGAATCTTCCGACGTTCCATTCGAATGCTGCTGCGGTACATGCAAAAGTCCATACATATTGGGTTGTCCTTCTCCCTGGACTGTTTCGGTTTTTTGTCCCGGGGCAGGGGGTTGAATATAACTTCTTGAATCACCATAACACACAGGGGGTGACATTCCTGATAATGGCATGTTGTATTGTACGGATAGATATTGATTGTGAGGAAAGGTTGAACTCTGTCCATAATCTATTGGTAAAAACTGACCATTCATATCGGAAATGTGTGTTTGTCTCCCAACATCTATTGAATCCTGCAAAAGATGTAAACAAATCAATAAAAATGTAAATTACAGAGATCTAAACCTATAAGATAAAACATTTTTATACGGGCGTATATTGCCATCACTCATGTCCGTCCGTCCGCTGGTCCGTCGTAAACACTGATTTTGACAAAACTTGGTGTGCGTGTTTGTGATCACCCAAGGATGAACCCTATTGAAAATCAGAAGAATCGAAAAATATTTAGTTTGAGTTATTGTCCTTTTTCTTGAAAACACGTTCCATTTTTGTCTTGTAAACCTTCTCTAAGGAACATTTCTCGACGGATTTTGTGAGTGTTTGTTATCACCCACGGATGATGAAAAATGTTTAGTATGAGTTATTGCCCTTGTTCTTAAAATTTTAGCTCGTGTAAACACTCTAGAAGGCACAATTCTTGATAGATTTTGACTAAACTTGGTGTGAGTGTTTTTTATCACCTAAGGATAAACCCCATCGGAAATTAGAAAAATCGAACAAAGATTTAGTTATTGCCCTTGTTCTTGAAAACACATTCAATTTTTAGCTGGTAGAATCTTGGAGCTAAGTTTACTAGAGACTGATATTCGTACTGTCTGGGAGGAATTGATCTATATCCCTGAAAACAGTTATTTTTCCACACCAGATTTGTTGTTGACATGAGCGTTTGGAATCTGCGACTATCCAGTTGATCGCAGTTTTTCTTGGTAGATCTATAGGCGGTAAGGTCTCGCCTGCAACAGATCCGACAAGATTCTAAGAAATTTCGATCGACCGGTTCCCAGCTTTATATATCAGGATCTGGCCACTGTGCCTATAGTCTAAGAGAATTTCAGGAACTTGCTGTCTTTTGCTTTGTTAACTGTGGGCAATTTCTCAAATAATAGCTTGATCTATAGATATAAGTCTAGCCTAGATTTAGTGATATCCTTTTAAGTTTGTCCATAGATCTTCGAGTTCGACATTGTCGGGCTTACATTCGGAAAACGTACCTGTGACTCTTGTCGGGGCATCATCATAGATGTGTAAAATAGATGAGGATACATCGCTGGATTACAAACAATATGTTGTTCTTGTCCAATTGACTCCTCGTGCTTCTGTTGATTTTGTAGGACTGGCATCTTCCCAATTTCTGCAGAATTTCCTTCCGATCCTTGACATTTTTGGAGACTTAAACAGTCGCCCTCTGTCCCAGGCGCCTGTTCCGCGTGGATTATGTCGATCTTTGGTGAAGAGTATCGGCAAATCACCTCGATCTCATCATCGGTCACTGATGTATCTCCTGCACCAACACCGTGATGCACTGGTGTACAATCTCTGGATTTGAGTGGTGGTTCGTTTTCAGGAGCGATTCCTGATATTTCTTGGTCATTTGCAAGGCTGAGTTCCGATATCTGGTGCTTCTTTTCCGGACTGACGTTAGGTATGATCAGCATTGGATCGCCTGTATTAGAGTCAGAAGAAACGATCGTCGGCGTTGATGGACAGTCCATAGCTTGTCCGTTATTTTCCGTTACGTTACTTAAAGATGCTTCACATTCCATTACCGAGATAATATGTTTTCTGTGTATGAAACTGAAGTCTTGGTTGTGAAAATAATACTCTACCAAATGGAAAGCTAGGCAACGCTATACAAGTTGTATAGCTATTTGACGTCAAATTTCTCGACGTCATCTTCCCATCAATTGCTAGAAATGAACTTGCGTTGAGATTGTTCTGCAGCCTTTTTGTTTTTATCTGGTATTAAAAGAAGTGAATGTTGGGAATAATGCAGTACGTTTTGTTTCAATGTTAACCTAAAAATAAGAAAAGGGTGACAACAAGGAGATTGTTAGCATCGTTATTTTATTGCTGCTAGCCAATTCTTATAGTAGTATTAAAGTATTAATTGAATGATATAGCCTAGGCTATTAAGGATGACCAACTAATTTAAATTTTTAAGTCCAACTAGTGAACATATACACGTACTGGCCAAATTGGAGATGTGGTAGGGTCTATTCCTTAAAATTTTCTTTGATTAGTGAATTACTTTTACACTCTGTAATGCTAAAGTAGTCATAAATGTTGCAAAGCTTTAGCAATGACCCTTCGATCACATGGTAGCTGTTTCGGGTTTGATTCCTGTTCCATGTTATTTATTTACATCAGTTCAGATTGTAACTTTATTGATGCTCATTTTAGAAATGGATCTGAATGCATACACCTCATTAGTTTTGCCTTAAAACCCCGTTACACTGTAGGTTATTTATTTAGTTATTCTATTTTTATCATCTAATTTAAGTTTTATAGAAATATTTAGTTGCCTTCCTTTATGCCAGCTCCCTATTCGTTCCATTGTATTCATCTTAAGATCTGTGATATTTGCATAATATAATATATTTTAAACGTTTTAATATTATTTTGTTAACCATTGTAATTATATATAGCCTATCAGGGCTGTTAAACAGTCATGTTTATTAAAACGTTACACTAACTGGATTGATTTATTTTATACCGCAATTCCCCGAGATACGACATAAATGCATAGGTCATAAAAATTCCATTGTATTCTAAAAATGATGTATAAAAGCGGAACAAACACGACATGTAAACCTGTAGATGAATTATTAGACTAACCTAACCATTATTAAAGGGGCAGATTTGCCATTTTCGGGGTTGATTTTGGTCTTGGATATACGCAAATAGTCTTCAGAAGTACTAGAAATTAGCGAAAATCACATAATTCCTTCCAAGATACATCAAACTAGGAATTTCACTTTCAATTTCTATAATATGTCTTTTCTATGGGCCTACTATACGACAGTGTCTCAACTTAAGAAAAGACGAGTCGCCTTTTTAACTTTCGAACGCTGATAATTCTGATCACACATGGTTTTGAATGCTCAAACTTCGACAGTGAGCTTTGATGGCGAACCTGTCCTTTTCTACCTAAAGTGATGATTCATTGAATTTCAAATGGATTCTCAATTCAAATTGGAAATTTTCTGTCTTTCAAAGACAAAATGATAAGATTCTGTGATATAAAGTGGATAAACCTGACAAAATAAACCTTTATATCTGTGGAAAGTCTTCCTTTAACGCAGACGAAATATACGAAACTGTTATACATCACTTTTAATAAACAGTTAGCTCTGTATTGTAACGGTAAATTTACGCTCGATTATCAAGACATCATTTAATGCGTTTTTAATGATAGGCGTCTGGTTAATTGAGACTAGGCTAATCAAGCCGTAGAAAGAATGAAACTGTGAGAGTGGAGAGAGGAATTCTTTGTTTATAAAAATGACTTGAAACCATGTAAATAACTTCCAAAATGGATTTTAACGGGAGATTAATTGTGTTATGGATATTTCTTTATCAAAATCGGATATTATTTGCACGACGTATTGGTAAGTGTGCATTATAACGTTGATATTGCCCTCGTCTTATCGATAAGAGGTTATTATAGTACTATTGGAAGCGTTCAATATTCTTGTGAATGAACATCAAGCTTTCTGACTCATATACCATAAGAGGTAGCTATATTGGTGGGTAATTCGTATTATCTATGATAAAATATAACAATAAATGCATTAATATAGTCAGTGATTTAGTTATTATAGATTTATTTAACTATATTATTAGGGATATCCCTTTCTATAAGAATAATATTGAATTTATTTATTTGCCTTCAAAAAAGAAAAAATCTCAGTCTGCTTTGAAATTAAAAAATAAAAGATTTTGTGATTTATGAAATTAATGTATTATTTCTACCCATATATCCCCTGTAGAATCCAGATTTAGAGTTGTATTGTTCTGTAGTGATGTGTGTTGTAAATATGAAAGGTATTGGTCTTTGGGTCAACTACATGACAATTTCAATTCAAATCATAAGGTCAATTGGACAGGTCAATGTTTTGTGTTTGTAACTGACTTCTGTACAGTTTATTTAAAGATTTTAAATGGCGTGAAATTGCTTTTTATTTTACATGATCATTTTATTTTAGACAAAGTACTCTGAATGGGTATTTTATACTTTTTATATTGGTAATATTTTAGTGTGTTTTTGTCAATGGAAATTGGAAAACATTATGCAAATCATACCAGTTGAGATAACCACATTTGGCCCTGGAAATATATTAGGTCAGCTTAAAAGATCAAAATATTGACTACAGAGCTGCAATAGCAAAATGTTTCCATCACTATTCATTTGACTTTGAACTTGTACTGATTTGTAACATACATTTTATACTTGAACAAACTCTCATTCTTGACATATATGGTTTGGAACAGTGGAATTGCATGAATCATAGATTTAGGCTTTTAATTGGAGTGATGCAAATTACTGCTGTCAATGTCCTGAAGATACATTAAAAGTTTACAAATTCTCTATACAATCACTTTAGGATCTTTGGGATAACCTTTGCAAATGGTTTAAAATTTGAGATTCAATTAGGTCGATTTAGATGATTTTGGCTAAAAACCAATTTTGCTTTTCTACATCATTTTTTGTTACTGTCACATCATTTCATGAGGTTTTTTTTTTTAAATGCCATTAGAAGGGTAACATTTCTTTATTCTTTTATTATTATTTATGTGTGATCCTACTATACCGATACAAAGAAAATTGGGCCCATGTAATACTTGAATCCATATCACACATATGTTGAATACTGTCGAACTACTTTTTTCTGCTCTGCTCGACTCAAATGATGGAGTCGCCATTTGTTTTTATAATCTCGCTAAGCGAATTCAAATCTGCAGTGCCGGCTTATAATAGCGCAAATGACAATGAATTATCATTAAACCATATTTTTAAACCTGTCCAAACATCTAGAATTTCCACAAGCAATACCATTATTACCTTTTTCGACAACAAATCAAGCACATCAAGTCACGTTTTCAAGTTGTAGTATAGGCTATAGGGAACTCCCTAAGACATCATCTTATATGTTTGTAAACATCACATTCCAGGGGGAATCTTTACTCCAATCTAAACAGTAAATGAAATAGTATGTAATAAAAGTCAACCACACACGTGTCTGTAGGTTTTCAATATTGCACTCAGGGCTTTGCTATGCACACTGGTGTCACTACGCCAAGCCCCTTCATGCAAAATTGAAAACCTACAGACGTGTGCGGTTCCACCATTATATTTCATAATTGAAATTTGGGTTAAATTATTGGACTAATATATTCCAACAAAGAGATAAAATATGCAATTATGAAAATCATGTAGATATATCCCTTTAAAGCAGTGTAGCATGTTATTTACATAGATCTCTATCAATCACTATTCTATTATAACTGAAGTAGAACAAAGATAGAGCTTTGATAGAGCTTGTCCTTAGAATATTTTGAAGAAAGTAAATCAGCATGTTTTTGTTCATCTGCAAAAATTGTGTGTTTTATAATATTCTGCAATGTCAAAAAAGAGAAAACTGCAAAATGAGGCCATATAATGGTTAACCTCAGAGCAATCCACAATCTGATGAAATTCTTCTTTAAATCGTGTTCCTTGATATATAGACCAAATGTCATGATTAATGCTAACTAATCAAACAGTTGTTAAATTGTACAGGTATAATGTTTAAAAATGAATAAATTCTTTACATTATAATATTAAGGAGATCTTTTATTGATCAGAGTATTAGATTGGTTGAATATTAATAGACAGACATTAGGTGATGTAGGACAATTTTGACAGATCATAGTGTCTGTTGAAAAAAAATTAAACATATATCTTAGAGCTTAGATAATTTTATTAATGTACACTCTTTGCTCAAAGGGTTATTTTGTTTATTTTTTCCAGTGATATTATCAATCTGTTCTACATCTAAATGTTTTTCCTTGGAAATTTAGTGTCAAACAATGGTCTAGTTCTGCCATCAGAGGACTGCAGCTTTAATTCAGTGATGCGCAACATTCAACATGTCGTGAATAAAAGAAAAAGTGCATTAAAAGAGAACATGTGTGACATTGCTTCCAACATGTTGTATTAACTTGTATTGAACTAAAAAAAATCAATATTTTTCTCTCAACAATTGTCTTCAACTGTAGAATTTTTCATTCCTGTTGTTCTTGTCTGTAATAGGTTTTTGTAATATAATCTAATTAATGGTCTTAAAGGCAATGTTGATTCTAATTCAATGAAACAGACTCATATTTTTAGCTTTAACTTATATAAGTTTATTTCAGTAATAAAGGTATACGACCAAAAGTTACAATAATATAAATGTTGCGTGAATTCCTATATTGTTCAATTTTATACATTAATAAGTAATTAATTATTTATTTACTTTTATCAAATTAAGATATCTAATATGCTACATATTCTTGAAAACTAAAGAGATGAAAATCATCATTTGTATTAAGTTTATTTAGATAATTGTCTTACTAAATATACTAATAGCATAAATTATAATTTCATACAACACAAAGCATGGGTTAACAAACAAGCCAAGGTTTATATAAATCTTTTTTTAATTTTTGATAAATCTTAGTAAAATATGTGTAAAAAATCTGTCTTTTCACAAACAACTGTGGTTTATTGGTTGTGAATTATCATCTTTTTGTTCTAAGATTGTCTGAGAATTATGAAATTGTACACAATGGATCAAAAT